GGAGTCCCCACTGGTGCTGGAGCTGGTGCTGGAGCTGTGGTTGATGCTGGAGCTGGTGCTGGAGCTGTTGGGCATGTTGGGGCTGGGTTATCACCAGAGCTGGAGCCCCCATTGGTGCCAGAGCTGCTGCTGGAGCTGCTGCTGGAGCTCCTGCCTGCCAGTGCCATCCCAGTGAGCTCCCTCAGCACAGCCAGCACTGGAGCCCTGCATCACATGGGCAGCATCACTGCCACCACCAGGGGACAAATCACACCAGCCAGCTCCTGGGGTCCCTTGTGGCCCCCCCCAGATCAGTCCTCTTGGCCACCCCATGATGTTCTGGGCAGGGGGGCAATCCCTGTGTCCCCCAAGCTCCTTGTCCTTGACACCCCCCATCCCGCAGGCATCGTGGAGGATTACAGACCCCCCTTCTTCGACGCCGTCCCCAGCGACCCCAGCTTTGAGGACATGAAGAAGGTGGTCTGCATCGACCAGCAGACCCCTGAGATCCCCACCCGCCTCTTCTCCGACCCGGTGAGTGTCCCCCCCTAAACTCCCCCCTGCAGCTGGACCTCTGCTCCCCATGCAGCCCCTCCATTTCCCCCCTCTTTCTGTGTGTGTCCCCCCCCCCAGGTGCTGTCGGCGCTGGCGAGGATCATGAAGGAGTGTTGGTACCAGAGCCCCTCCGCCCGCCTCACCGCCCTGCGCATTAAAAAGACACTGAAGAAGCTCAACAATTCCCTGGAAAAGCCCAAACCAGAGCAGTGAGCGCCGGGAATGTGCCTGGATTGCACTGGGAACGTGCCTGGATTGCACCGGGAATGTGCCTGGATTGCACCGGGAATGTGCCTGGATTGCACCGGGAACGTGCCTGGATTGCACTGGGAATGTGCCTGGATTGCACCGGGAACGTGCCTGGATTGCACCGGGAATGGCAGCGAAACCAACGCCAGGGCAGCTGCTGGGCACGGGGGGGCTTTGCTGACACCCCCCACCTTCCCCACCCCTCCTCGGAGCCTCTTTTTTATGTGCAAGGAGAGGAGGGGGGGAAAAAAAAATAGGGAAGAAAACAAAACCAAAAAATCCACAACTGAGGAATCTTCCGGCCCGGTTATAAAAATAACCCCCCGGATCCAACACCCGACGCCGCTCCAGGCTGGGATGGGAAGAGGGGTCACCCGGAGCATCCCCTGGGAAGAACTGGCACCATTTCCCAGCACAGCCCCCCCGTGCCCACTGGGGCACCCCCACCGGGGCACCCACCCCTGGGCTGGCACCTGCAGGCAGCGGGTGCTGCCCAAACCTGCCTGCCCGGCGCGGCGGCAGCGGGAAGGGCCTCGGGGAGGG